CAATAAGGTGGAAATTTTTATTTTTTTCTTTTTTTTTTTTTTTTTTTTCTTTTTTTCCCCCTTTGTTGTTGTTTATGCATGTTTAGATGTGAGAAACTCACACTATCTTCAACTATAAATAAGTTCAAATACTTCTTTAAATAGTATTTAGTTGTGGAGTCGGGGTTACTGAACAGAAGTATGGTACATCAATTCAGATACTGGACTCATCAGGCCTTGATAAAATTATTAATTATTTCAAGAACGATGGAAAAGGAATGGATATCAAACAAATAATTGACAAGTACTGAGAATTGAGTGAAAAACCATTGATTACTATCAGTGATTTGTTACAATACACTTTTGCTAATCCTCGTGGATATAAGTTGAAAACAGAGGACAGTCCAATGAGTTTCAGAACATTTGTGAATTTATTGGCAAAATGTGATTGCAGATGGGCTTCTAAGAGACTTGAGCATGTGCTAGTTGTAATTATAAAGCTCTTGAATGAGCAAAAAGCTAATAATCTTAATAGAAAATGTGGTAAGTCTAGGCATGAGCTAAGGGAAGAGGCAAGAAAATCTATTGGGGACACAGGTTTAATTGATTTTGTGCTCAAATCTATCAAATCTTTTGTAGTGAATAATCCAATTATTCGACGAACAATAAATCCACTAACTCGATTAGTGGAATTTACAATTTATGTTGTTGCTAAAGAAGCGGAAGGATAGTGGCCAATTTCAAGAAAGGATTCTGGTTGTAGATATTCAAGAAATAAACTGGAACAAGCAGCAAAAGTTGTGGTGAATATTTTGATATTTAGGAGATGATTCAATCCTCAACAAATGTCTTGCTTGCTTTTAGTTGTTTTGTTTTGTATATAAAATGTTTATTGTTTTGTTTTGCAAATCTGATAAATCATATGGCAAGTTACTTATCTTTATTACATGTTTTAAATTTTAATTGTTTGATTTGGAGCAAGCAAGGTGGAAGAAGATTAAAGAGGGTGGCATTTGGACAATTGGCCCATCAATTTATCTAAGAAGGAATATTAATACAATGTGGAGCCTGCTTTGTTGAGGTGAAGATTTTAACTAAATTCTGAAGTGATGTATAATATCTAATCTATCTATCATGACAAGGTCAGCACTCTGATGGATATATAGTTTATATTATAAACGATATCATAACTAAATCTTTAAGTGATTTCTTTATTAGAAGCAAGAGGTTAAGCAATACCGTTTTTAAGCAATACAGCAGTGATGAGCTGAATATCAGTTGGAGCATAGAAGTTATGAAAATGGTGTTAGTGGTGTTGAAGATTCTGTGGAAGAAGAGTGCATTCCGATGAAACATGATGGGCACATCAGTTGGGAGCTTGAGTATTGGCAATAAATCACACCGTGTTATTTGGAGAATACAAGTGTAAGGGCCATGGAGCAGATAAAGGACGAACAGTGTCGTGGTCGAAAGCTCTGAATTTTGGTTTGTAATTATTATATGTATGCTAGTAATCAAATAAATGAACAATTTGCACGCCGTAAAAAAATTATGTTCTTTTATTTACGACGTGCATATGCACGCCATAAAAAATGACTTTTATTTACAGCTTTTTACGGCATGCAATGCACGCCGTAAAAAGTACATTTTGTTGTAGTAAATGACATCATCAATTCAAATCTTCAATTGAATCTTCAGGTCTTCAAATTAATCTTCGTGTTCCTTACCTCGTTCTTTGCTCCAAAAACCTTATGAATATGTTGGAATGAGTCTTGAACCCTTAGGAACAGCCCTAGGGCCTTAAAAGATATCCCAATATTGTTTCCATAATCTTTACTCTTTTTCTATATTATAGTAAAATTTCTATCTTCTGCAAATTATTTTCTTCTCATGTTCTTGTGATTTTTACTTCATATAATTGTCTTAATCTCTTATCTTTTCATAAAAAATTAGTATCGAAATTTTCCCGCTTTCAATAAAGTGATTTTATATCTGGTCCGACTCATAGCAGGGGTAAACAAATCTCTGAAAAACAAATGAAAATCATGCTAGTTTTATCCACCTCGATCATAAGCAAATTCTGATCTCACTTCCTTCTTCATTTCAGGTCGTAAGCTTTGTAGACCAATAAAAATATTTGATCTATTGGGGTTTTACCTGGCATTGGAAAGTCACAAATGAAAATGAATGCTTTATTTGCAATAGTTGGTGGCTAATTAGTTTATGTTGTAGCTTGTCTTTCTTGTTCACCGTCTCAGTTCTAAGTCAACCCTTACTTATCTATTTATCAACCATTCTGGCCTATAGATTCATTAAGAGAACTTTAAACACATGCATGAATAGACACCTTTTTCTTCTACTTTGACTTAAAAAAAAAGGGTTTTCCCTTTTTGTTTACTGATCAAATCACTTGATTAATACTAATGGACTCCACTAACTTCTATTAAAAAGTGTATTCTTGAAAAATTATAATAGATAAAGTGAGAGAGAGGAATTGTTCAATTCAAATTTAATTTCTATTGATTGAGTGTTATTTGAAATAACAATATTGTGAAATTTACAAATAAAATTCCAACCTCGAGAATGTAAATACAAAGAACATTAATTAATTCTACTCAAATAACTAACAACATGTATAATTCATGAACCATGATAGTAAATACATGAATTAGAATTTTCATGAACCATAACCCTATACTGCTTAACTGTACCTTTTTTAATGATTAAAACTTGTGGATATCCATTAGGGTCCATCCAAAATTCGGAATCTTGCGAAGCTGAATCAGAGTTAATCTTCCATGATGAGCAATAAGTCTCTCTACTAGTCACAAATTTCCAGCCAAACTTCGTATTAGGTAACTACATATCAGTTGGATAATCAAACTCTGCCGAAGGAAATTCTCCGGCCTTCTTCATTTGCGGCTTTCACAAGAAGATTCCCGAATTCAACAACTGAGAAACTGGAGTCTGACACTGACAGGACTTGATGCTTTAGTTGACCATATGATGTTATTAGTATTGTCAGAAAGATCCAGAAGTCCTAATTCACGCCCGATGTCGTTTTTTGGGGGAACTTTTCTGTTGACAGCCCAAATTACAGCGTTAATAGGTATCTTGTTGTACCAAATTGCCACATGTCGATTAATTCAGTTACCTGGGCTGGAAAATCCCAGTGTAAATACCCCGGACGGCAATTTGGCTCATCGGTTCGGGCTGCCCGTGGTTCAGCCCGGAAAGAGTCAGAATCGGCTCGGGCCGAGCCCCATTTTGGGAGGATGGGCAGAACCCAAGCGTGGCCCATGGGCCTTAAAAAAAAAAAAAACCAAAAACAAAATAGAAAGGCCCCATTCGGCTGCCTTAAAAGGCAATTTACTTATTAATAATAAAAAAAAAAAGCGAGCATGCTCAACTCGGTCCAAGCCAAAAGTTCGGGTTGAGCCTAATTTTTTTGGCCAAGTCTCAGGCCCGAAAAAAAGCTCGCACATTTTACTCGAGCCGCTCGTTGACATCCCTACCCCACCCTAATGAAACTAGAGTGTCACTGTCTCTAAGTATCCGAGTTGTAGTTATGACATCAATTGCAACAGAAATCTTAAGGATGGACACTGAGGATGATAGTAGAAGAAGAAAAGATGTATCTTTACTTGATTTTTTCTTGGTTCAGCTCTATCTTTTGTCATGACCTTGTGTTATAAGGAAATTTCTCTTTTGTATGTCCACACTTGGAATTCTACTTTGGACACTTCAATCGCATATAGACGGATTACTTGACATGCCTGAGTTCTAGATTGTTGAAAGTTTGGACATTCCGGCCCCAGTTGGAGCTGATATATGAAAAAATTTAATTGACATGAATGTTTGACAGTGAGTTTAATCACTGAGATATATATAATTTTTAATTATATTATTAAAGGAAACCTAATTTTCAAAGAAAATGATGACAAGATTAAGATCATGGTATATGGAAGTTTTTGTGTGAAAATGAAGATTATGGTGAGAAGGAAATTTTTTAATAGGTCCATTCAGTTTCAATTGAATAAGCTCATTGACTGATTGTTTTCCTGGGGATTTTTATTATATAATTCGCCTTCTATTTGGTCCAATTCTTGAATTTTTGTTCTTTCCCATTTGATTTTATTACAATAAACTTAGACAAAATTTGTGAAGAGGATTAGTTGTAGCATTGGGAACAAAATTGAGCCAAAAAAGGTAATTTCTAGCAACCGCTTCTCTCATTTTTTTTTTTTTTTGGGTGAAATAATTTATTCAAAATTTAAAATCGCCAGGATTTAATATGTGTTCTAAAAGTAGGATGGCAATGGGGAAATTTAGTTGGTAATTATTAAAATTAAGGAAATCCAAATAAAATAAATTTCTTAAATATTAAAAAAACTCCCAAAAACATTAAGCACATGTTTGAACCCATTTTCAATAATATATTTTTCTTCAACTCATTTTGCAACCGCATATTCTTTTAATAAAATAATTTCACACATAAATTTAAAATCTTTTCCTGCTTTTCAACCACACGGTGTCCAAAAGGTCACGATTCCAAAATCTATTTTTGCGAAATAATGGGGCTCAAACAATGGCTAAAGAAATCCCTTACATTAAAAAAACCAAAAATAATAAATAAATAAAATTGGCACAAATGGTCCCTAGCCCATGGGAAGTGTGTTTCGTTCCCTATTTTTTTTCTTGCCATGTAAATCCTCTACCTATGGTTAATTTATCTAAGCAAACAGTCCTATTCGGTTCTTTTTTATTGCAGTGTCTATTTCAGTCTATTTAACGATAAAAAGTATTTTTATTTTTATTTTAAAAACTACAATGCCCTTACTTTTATGTAAATGGAAAATTTGAACAAATGGTCCATAAAGTATGACCCTTGTGAGCAAATGGTCCCTAACATTTCATTCTTGGAATTGACCCCCTCAACCTATTGATTTTTGGATAAATTTTGGTGTATATAAAATATGTACATAGGTTTGTCGCAAAAAATCCTTTCGAATTGTTTCCATCCATTTTGCTATTAAGCATATCTATTCTAATAAAAAAGATGCTTGTTCCTTTGACCCATTTATACACTTAAGGGAGGATTTGTGCAAAATTTCTTCTCGTACATCACTGAAGTCATAGTCAAAACTCCATTTACCAAGGGACAGAGAGAGAAATACCATGAGAGAGGGAGTGATGGTTGATTTTCATATTTTTCGGTTGTTACAACTGTCACTCATAATGTTGTTATCATTTTCACTTTAGATCATTTTAAATCGTGACATTCTCTCACTTTTATTGCTATTTGTATAATTTCTTTATAGGAATGATTAAAAAATTTGTTAAACCCAATATCCGTGGACCCTGTTGAACAAAGCGGGTATTACCAGCCTAATAGGGTAAATAGGGTGGAGTGGGGTCTCAAAGTGGGAATGGGGTCAGTACGGAAAACATGGTCGCCGTCTTGTTACCCGCTTGTTAAAATTTATCTTAAATTTAGGTTTTTTATCACATAAAAAGAAAAGAATTATTATAATTTCTAAAGGAAACATGGATTATTCTTATAAAAAAAATGTAATTGTTTCCATCAACTAAAGACATAAAAAATAAAAATGGGGCAATGGCCCCACCCTGCCCTGTCATATTCCCGCCTCGAACTTGTCCCATCTCACATTAATCGTGTGTGGGGTGAGATAATATCACAAAATAACCCGATGGGACAAGGGATGGGAATGATAGACCCGTCCCTTTGTCATCCTAGTGATGGCAATGGGGCGGGTTCGAGGTGCGGCACCCTAGCATGGCCCGGCCCCTCGACCAGCCTTAGACGGGGCGGGGCGGGGCAGCTCATGCCCAATTTGCTGTCCCCACTTTTTTTGGTCAAATTCACAAAGTAACAACGCTAACATTCAAAGTAAATACTCGAAACAAACAATATTCGAAAATAAACAATTACAAATACAATTACATCAATACATTGTAACTAAATTTCACTTATTTATCCAAAAATAAATTTGATATTTTTCCAACTTTAGAACTTCATTCATCAGCATATTCAGAGATTGAAAAAGATGTATCCTGAAAAACGAAAGAAATATTATACTCAATATCATCAAAATAACTATAATTTAAATTTAAATTATGTTATAAATAAAATTACCTCCTCATCATTCATCTTGGAGCAAGATCCAAAATAATTAGTAATAAGAGAATTCATAAAAGAAACAATATGAAAAGCAAATATTTATATACATCATACCGTGAATATCGATCAATAACCAATCTTGAGCACACATTAAAGTCTCCAAAATTTTGGGGTGAAGCCTATTTCTATGTGGACTAACAAATCTACCACTAGTACCGAAAACAGTTTTAGATGTCACAATAGATATCGGGGATGGCCAAAATATCTTTTATATTTTGAGATAAAGTCGAATATTTGATTGCATTTACTTTCCACCATGTCAATATATCAAAATCATTGGACCGAGACAATATAGGCTTATTCAAAAGAGTATCAAGCTCAGTTTTCACAATACTAGGAGCTTCAACATTAGAAACAAATCTTTAAAAATCCGCCATGCGATTTGATTTATTATTAGCACTTCACGTCTCGATTTGACAAGAAGTAGAAGACTGAGCTATAGACACACTTGAATCATTCTTTTTTTCTGATAATCGTGCACCAACTTGCCACAAACTTGATATATTTTG